ACATACACATAAATACATATATATAATTATATATATTATATATATACTATATATTATAGTATATATATATGTATAATACATACATACATATATATGCATATATATACATACATACTATATGTAATATATATACATACATACATACATAATAACATATGTGGTAGATACAAATACATACATATATGTAATATATAAAATACATACATATATATGTATATATATACATACTACCTATATATATATATATAGATTATATATATATATATAATATATATCTATACAAGCAGACATACATATGTATATATTACACATACATATATATGTATATATATATACCTACATGCTATATACCTACCCATAAATACATACATACATACATACATATGTATATATATATACATACATACCAGAGTATGTACATATATAACATACTACAATATTATGATTTATAGATACATATAAATATATATATTATATTATTATAATATATAGAATATTATATAATACACGAATACATACATTGTCTTATACACCATACCGCTATAGGTATTACATACATAATTACATATAATCTATATATTATAATGTTATATATATATATATATATATATATATATATAAGTAGGTATTATACAATACAACATATGTACTTATATACATACATATATATAGTAAACATTTGGTAATATATATACATTATACATACTATTATATGTATATAGACATAATACATCTATAGTATATATATACATACATACATTATATAAATATGCTATATATACATACATACAGATATATGTATGTAGGTCTAGACACATACATACATATATATGTATGTATATATATACACACATACATACGACGTAGTATTATATACACATACAAACATATATATGTATAATGTATGTATATATATACATACATAACATAGGATGTTATATATACACATCAAACAATATATATGAATGTATAATATATATCTATTATATATAGAGATATTATATATACATATGATATAGGTGTATGTAGAAATATACTATATATGTACATACATCATATGATCTAGGTTCGGAGGCCTGGTCAGGGAGGAGTGTTAGATAGTGAACATCAATGCGGCATTGCATTATTCCATCTGTCATATATATTATATTATATATATATATTATATATATATATATATATATATATATATATATATAACCACCTCAGTATATCTGACTTTCGGTTTAGAATTTTAATCAACTTTACCACCGAGTGCCCACGGGAAGTGTGTTTAAAAACCTTGCTATCAGTACTTCATGTACCGTCATGGAGTAGTTAGATCCTAGTTGCACCTCCTTTTAGTGGGTCGGGGTGTGCAATGGGGTTTAGTACTGGGCTTCGGTTTCATCTCGGAGTAACCTAGGTGTCGAGGGCAGGGAGGATTTTTGTATAAATAGTATGTAATCTATAATATATATATAACCCAGCCTGGTGGACGCACAACTTGATACGGAGGTTGGTGTGGCTGCCGGGGACCTTAAACTGTCACGTGTGGAAGGAACTTTGGTACAGAAGGTACAGGAAACAGAAAAAATCGGGAGTTAGGAACAGTAATGGAGACAAAATTATGGACTTTGCAACAGCAAAAAGTATGGACTGAGTACCACTACTCCCAGAGAAGAAGGACTCGAGAGCAACCTATGCTAGCAGCGGACAGAGAATAGTCTACAAGGGAATGGACGCAAGTGATTAGAATGATCTTCGTACTTTATGTCCACCTGCAGTGTCTCCTAGTATTAGTGTTTCCGAGAGAGCCAGTGGCTCATAGCCTTTGAAAAGAACTGTTTTTTGGTAACCTCTTGTCGCCGAGGGCCGCCTCCTTCCTGACAGAGTAAGCAAAGCTCCAGGCTGATGCCTTTTGGACAAGTGGGAATTTGCTGTTGTATTTTAATAAATTCAACTAAGCAAAGAAAATATTTGATGAAGAAAAATGAAAAACAATGCTTCTTGACTCATAGGGCCTAGATGCGACACTAATGGAAAAATATTACTTCGTTAGGATAAAACGAAAATAAATACTAGCATAAATAAAAAGTCATAGTAGAAATGTGTGGGTGTATGTTAGACATCTGTTCGAGAGTATTCTTTGTGGCGAAAATAAGTGTTCGATATTTTCCAACGTGAAATTCTTTGTTTAAGTTTTCGCTCTGAGTAAGAATATGCTGCTGGCTGCATCATATAATATATATGTGTACATTAAGTATGTATATACTATGTATATTACACAAATATATGTTACATATGATATAAATTATAACATTTCAAAACCCGTAAACACTGACACACTCAATATTTTTTCGATAGGATTTCACTAGTGTCAGATAGGGAGTTATATTTTCATGATTACAAATAGTTTCGTCATAAAACTTTTATAGTAAAGGTGGCAAAAATTTATCTCTACCTTTTTAGCATACATCAAGTATTTGTTTTACTCGATATAGGTAAGGAACTGAAGCAATATGAAGGTAGCTAGAGGCATGTCAGAATTTCCACACGTGTACTGAGTCATATGACATTTCGGTAGGATTATCGTTTCAAATCATTCTGTGCCTCATGATTTAATATTAAAGGCTCGAAAATATGAGGAAAAGCTGTGTATCTTGTTGCTCTAATTCAGTCATTAAATGTAAAGTAAATGTCGTGATCATTGGAATATTGAGTGACTGATTCGGACACGAAGCTCACTCGCGGGGATAGCATAAGGTGAAACATTATGCAACTTACACTTTTCTAGGACAATGATTTAGGTTTTGTATACGAAAAAAACAAAGTTATCAGATTTTGAGCCTGTAATGTTTTTAAAACTTTTGCAGTGTAAAGTTTCCACAGCCTTGCGAAGCAAGTGTGGGTTGTTTAGATGAGATAGTCGGTACTTTCCATTTTATTTGATAGTTCCTCAAGTTTTGCTTGTAGTAAAAATCATTCCTGATATAAGAACTGTAATGGTTTTTATGTGAAATGAAAAATATTTACTCTTTTCAAACTTAGTGGAATTCGATGATATCGTGTTTTGTAGCGACCGTGATACAAATTGAAACAATGTAGTCAAATTGTAAGGTTTGTAATTACAAAAAACGCTTATACATACAGAATAGTTGGATGTGTGTGTGGTGTGGCGAGGTAGTATATATATATCTTACATCTATCTATATATCTAATCTATATATATATAATATATATATAAATATATATAATATATAAATATATATAAATAAATATCTAATATTAAATATAGATATATTATAAATGTATATATATAAACAAATTATATGCATTACAGCATAGAATAAATATAATCTATAGTAGTATATAGATATATATATATATATATATATTATATATTATATATATGTATGTATGTATGTATAGTATAAACATATATAGTTAGTAGTTAGATATAGACAGATAGATATAAAAATCATACTGGAAAGACAAAAAAATGAACCGGGACTACGTTCCGTCGGCAGATCAGCACATGTGTACAAATGCGGCTCAGATATTCGTACGTCCCACACAGTACACTGGCAAGCAGTGCCACCAGCAAATTTTAAGAAGTAGGAAAGGCTCTCTATAATAAACACGGATGTTGATAATACTATTTACGTTGAATCGCCTTCGTGAACAATCGGAAAAAGGACTCCCACTCTCTCCCCACACACATTAATACAGATACATATATGTATGTATATATATATATCATCTATATATATATATATAATATATATAATACAACATTTTAGGTATGTGTGTTTTATGTGTGTGTATATCGTGAATATTCATGGAATCAGATAGAGAGAGAGTAGATGTAAAACAAGACTTGAAATCACACACACGAAATAATCATGATGATACGTTCCGTAGCGATCAGCACTGTTATACTTGCAACAGTTGCCACAGCAAGTTTCTAATATACATAAATACATACATATATATATATACATGATCATATATATATAGAGATATATCATATGATATATATATATATCTAATATAATGATATATACTATTCAATATATATATATATTATATATTCATATATAATAAATATATACATATATATAAAATCTTTATAGATACATATAATATAGAGAGGAGGAGCGAGAGAGAGAGAGAGAGAGAGAACGGTCACACACAAAAATATCTATCTTCTTTATCTCGTGTGTGTGTGGTGTGTGTGTGGTGTATGTGGGTGGTGTGGTGTGTGTGTGTGTGTGTGGTCGTGTGCGTGCAGGTGGATGAGTGCGTGCCGTGCAGTTGCGTGCGTGACGTGTCGCGTACGTGCGTGGTGAAATGTTGTGTGCGTGCGGTGCTGGTTTGCTGTGTGTGCGTGTTGCGTGTGGTGTGTGTGTGTTTGTGTGTGTGTGTGTGTGTGTGTGTGTAGTGTGTGTGTGTTGTGTGTGTGCGTGCGTGAGTGCGTGCGTGCGTGCGCGTGAGTGCGTGCGTGTGCGTACGCTGCGGTGGTGTGTGTGTGTGTTGTCGTTTGTGTGTGTGTGGTGCGGTTTGTGTGTGTGGTGTGCGTTTGTGTGTGCGTGTGTGGTGCGTTTGTGTGTGTGTGTGCGTTTGTGTGTGTGGGCGTTGTGTGTGTGTGTGTGTGCGGTTGTGTGTGTTATGTGCGTTTGTCGTGGCGTATGTGTGGTGTGTTGGTGTGTGTGTGTATGTGTGTGTGGTGTATGTGGTGTCTGTGTGTGTGTGTATGTGCGTGTGTGTGGCGTTGTATATGTTTAGTTATAATATATGTGATAGTATTTCACATTTATGTTTATGTGTGTTACAAACGGTATGCATATGTAAGATGTATTATTTTAGATGTGTGGTGTGGTGTGTGTGGTGTGTGTGTGTGGCATGTGTGTGTGTGTGGTGTGTGGTGTGTGTGGGCTGTGTGTGTGTGTGTGTGTGAATTACATAAAATAGATATAAACAGACTAAACACACAAAACGGAATTATGAACTGATGATATGTTCCGTACGCGATCAGCACTGTTATACAAAACACAGTGGTTGAGTATGGTCAAATGAAATAACGCCACATAGCGGTATCAAATAATGTAAACATGAAGTACAATAACAAAGAGAGAAAAATGTGCGACTTATCACTCTAAGGACTAGGATTCTTCTTTGTTTGTGTATTTATTACCGATGATTTATATGAAGCTGATAAAGCTAAGTACGAAAGTTAGCGTTATCAGTCTTCTAACACTCATGTTAGCCATAAATGGCTGATCAAAAACCTATTTTGTGGGCAAACAATCATATAAATGAAAATAAGTATAAAAAAAAAATAAAAACGTGACTTACTCCGTCGCTATCGGAATATTCGGTACAAATAGATTGTTCAAGCAAATCGTCCTTTGCTGTTCATATATATATAGAAAGTTGCTGGTGGCAACTGTTTTGCAAAGTATAAACAGGTGCTGATCGGTACGAACGTATCATGATTCCGTGTGGCTGGGTCATGTCTTAATATTGTTTTACATATATCTACCATCTATGATATTCACACACACACGCGCACGCACGCACGCACAAACGCACGCACGCGCGCACGCACACACACACACACACACCCACACCCACACACACACACACACACACACACACACAACACACACACACACACCACACTTCACGCACATACACACACACGCACACACACACAACACACACACACACACACACACACCAACACACACACCACACACACACACACATCGCGATAATAGGATATGTTTGGTGTGACCGCCTCTCTCTCTCTCACGCTCTCTCTCTATTCTCTCTCTCTCTCTATATATATAATATAAGATATATATATATAATATATATATATGTATCTAGATATATAATATATATATATATATATATAGATATGATATATATGTATATATATATATATAGATATTATATATAATATAGATATATATATATTATTTTTATATATTATATAATATTATATATATACGAATACTATATATACTATATAGATATATATGGTATGCAAGTAAAGGTCTGCTGATCGCTTACGGAATGTACATGATTCATTCGGTGTGTGATTTCAAGCCTTGTTCTATATCTACTATCTATCTATCTATTCAATGAATATTCACAGATAACACACACATACACAAATACCTGAAATGTAGGTAATATATATACAATATATATTAGATAATATACCGATATAGATTATTATATATATAATATAGATATGTATATTGTACACAGGTGCTGATCGCCGACGGAAACGTAAGGGCACGTCATATTTTTGTCATTTCCAGTATGATTTATATCTATCTGTCTTAATCTTAATAACTATATATATATAATATACATATGTGATATATATAGATACATTTTTATATATATATTCTATATATATTATATATTATATATATATATTTATTTATTATATGTATATATTTTATATATCTTAGCTAGGAGAGATAGATAGATAGATAGATAGATAGATAGCATAGATATAGATACACCACACCACACACACACACTCATACGTATGTTGTATAAGCGTTTTTGTAATAATACAAAACTCTACAATTTGAAAATTGTTTTATTTCAAGTTGTATCCGGTCGCTACAAAAACACGCAATCATCAAAGGTTGTAAACATACAAAGTTTTGAAAAAAAAAGTAGAGATTTTTTCATTTCACATAAAAAATCAGTAGAAAACCATTACACGTTCTTAATATGCTGGAATGATTTTCAGTTACAAGCAAAAGATTGAGGAACCATCAAATAAAATGGAAAAAGTACAGGACTAATCTAATTTTATATTGTTAAAACACACCACACTTCGCTCTCAAGGCATGTGGAACTTAACAATGAAAAGTTTAAAACATTCAGGCTCGAAAATATGAGAACTTTGTTTGTTCGTATTACAAAATCATTGTTCATATGAAAAGTGGAAGTTGCATAATGTTTCACCTATTACATCCACCGCGGTGGAGCTTCGGTGTCCGAATCAGTCAACTCAATAATCCAATGATCACGGACATTTACTTCACTTTAACGACTGAAATATTATCAACAACGATACACAGCACTTTTCTATATTTTCGAGCCTGTAATATTAAATCATGGAGCACAGAATGGAGTTGAAAACGATAATTACCGAAATGTCATATGACTCAGGACACGTTGGAAAATCTTGACAGCCTTCTGCTACCTTCAGATTTGGCTTCAGTTCTTACCTATATAGAGAAAACAAATACGTGAGTACTGCTAAAATGGCGAGATACAATTTGCACCTTTACTATAAAAAGTTTTATGAGAAAACTATTTGTAATCAATGAAAATATATAATCCCTATCTGCCACTATGTGAAAATTCTGAAAAAATATTGCCTCTTACTGGGCTGACCTGAGTGTATCAACACCGTATCAAAGTGTAGGCATACATACAAAACGAAAAGATGTTTCAAACATGGTTTCCAATAATGCCGCCATAAAGGCAAACATGTTATCAGAGTGTGTCAGGTTACGGGTTTTGGAAATGTTATAATGTTAATATCATATGTATACATATATTTGTGTAGATAGTACATTAGATACATACTTATGTACAATATATATTATATGAATGTTGCCAGCAAAAACACCTTTCGGAACACGCAAACAAAACAAAACAAAGAAACTCTTTAAGTGGAAATATCGAACACTTATATTCGCCACAAAGAATTACTCTCGAAAGATGTAAATAGAACACACATTGACTATGACTTTTTATTTATGCTAGTAGTATTTATTCTTTGTTATCTAAACGAAGGTATATTTTCCATTAGTTTCAGCACTTAGGTACTATGATGCAAGAATCATGTTTTCAAACAAATAATTTCCGTTGCTTAGTAAAGGTATTAAAATAAAAGTCAAGAAGTAACCATTAGCATGCTATTGATTTTAAAAGGTCATATGGCAGAATACGCACTACAAAATATTTCCTTATCATTGGCTACTGCAGTTTGTAAATACATACGCTTCGACAGGAAATACTGATAGGTCTGTCCTACAATGGAAACGCCCCTTAAAGAGGTGCAGGACAGTGAGCCCCTCTATGAGGGGAAACTAGCCTATGGAAGGTTGCCTTATTGGAGAGGGCGCCCAAATGATTCCAAAAACAATGATACATATCTTGTAGTGGAAAGGCATACCCTCGGTCTTTCCCACGGGGTTTCAGGTTCCACTTACCCATGTTTTTTGCCAGGCATGGCACCCTGAGTCACTGTGGGACACTCATATCGTGGACGGAATTTCATGGAGCGTTGAGCAGGTATGAGTATCCACTGTGGTCAGTAACACAGCCTCTGTGGACCTTATTCCAGCAAGACATGTGCTTAAATCTGGCCTGGTCAGGTCAAGCAGCTTGGTGTCCTGGGAGGCTAGGGCCAAGCAGTCTGGCACTGTTGCACTCACACAGGTGCATGAGTGCCGGTCAACACTGGATATGGCTGCTGTTACCTCTACCACCCCTGTAGCTGTTCGACATAAGTTCTAACATATAGCTTTCCCTTGCTGGACTCTGTGATGGAGGGGGGGCATGAGAGAGTAAACACATGCTTATTCCATGGCAAATAATTCACAAAAAAAAAAAAAAAAAAAACACAACTGAGATAAAAGGATGACAAACCTTGCAAGGCAGTGGCAAGGGCAAGTGACTCTGAAGCCCATTCGGAATTCTAGTAGCAAGAAAAAAGCACAGGCTGACTTGTTCTAGAACTGCTTGTAAATGGACACGACACAGAATCCGTCACCAAAAAACAGGTCTGTCATGAGATTGACCACAGATGCGACTCTTGCTCGGCCTCTCCGGCCTGCACCCCCCCCCCCCCCCCCCCAAAACAGACCACTGACTTTAATTCAACGTCATCCCTGACGAGATGGAATAAAAGCTGGATCGCCTAAACTAGCAGCTTATTCCGTGACAGAGGCCAAAATCTTGACTAAGGGGCGGTCCGAAATAACGGGCGGAGACAGACCTGAGGGGGGGGGTCTGGGACCCTTCTAAGGCTTTCCCATCAGAGCATAATAAATTACCCTAAAATAAAGCTATCCGAAATCCTTCTGGAAAACAAAGGAGCTTAAAGATGGGAGGGACGTGGTATCGCCCACGAATCCGAGCAATAGGAGAGCAAGATGGTGTATTTTGGCCTTCCAGGTTCTTAGATGTGGATATACTGAGGTGGTTATATATATATTATAATATATATATATATATATAATATATATATATATATATATAAATATACGTCATTTATAATATATATATATATATATATATATATATATATATAGAGATATATATAATATAGGTATGTATATATACCTATATATATACATACATATATATATAATATATAAATATATTATATAATATATATCTATATGAAAAATGAATCATGCAATTGCCGCATTGAGTAAATATATAACAATCCTCCCGACCACGGCCTCGAAAACTAACAATATGTATGTATCGTATGTATTGTTGTACATATATATGATATCTATATGTATATATAATATATATATATATAGATATATATAGAATCATATATTATAATATATTACATTATATACAGATGTATGGAGTGTGTGTATATATTAGTAGTTATGTATATGTAGATACATATATACATATATATATATATATATATATATATATATATATAATTATAGATAAAATATGTCAGTATATAATGTATATATACAATATATGTATGTAGTGGATATACATGTACACTAATATGTGTGGTTATATATATAATGTATTTATATATGATATACATGTATATGTATATATACATATACATATATATGTTTGTATGGAATATAGACATACATATATAGGTATGTATGTGTATATACATACATACATATATATGTTATGATGATATATATACATATATATGTATTTATGTATATTATAATACTATATAGGTCTAGATATACATATATATGTATGGATGCGTATATA